CTAAACATTGGTAATGGCCAGACCTTGGAGTGTTGAAGATCAATACTGACAGAAGAATATTATTGGGTAGAGGGATCGATCTTGGTGTAGTGATAAGAGGATAAAAAGGGAAATTTGAACTAGTGGCAACAAAAGCGGTTCCCAGTGTTTGGGACGTGGATGAAGCAAAACTTTTAGCGGTTGAGTTTGGGGTACAATTAGCACGACAACTCCATGGTAAAAACTTAGCACTATAAATCAACTACTTACCTCTTGTTTAGAAACTGAATGAACAGAAGAAGTGAAAACTTAGATGGGTACTCTTTATAGGAACATACATTGCTACCTTAATGAAATGGGCATGGAACATGGAAATATGTTCCCAAGAAAGGTAACATGGCAGCTCATATATTGGCACATGCTGAGACTCGTTGGAATGAAAGAGCAGTATGGCTAGATAAGTCCCGGTGTTTCTAATTTATCAGTTGTTATATGGCAATGTAACGTTGGAATAAAACATAAAGGTTTGGGCAAAAATATTGGATAGTCGATTATTGATTTTTTTAGTCAAATAATTAAAGAAATATATAAAAATTAAATTTAAAATAGTGGTGATTCGCTCTACAACCTTGATATTGTAAGACTGGTATTAACTTACACTCTTCTCTTAGATCGTACAATTTCCAAATTAACGAGCATGGGTAGCCACCCACTCTGCCTCATAGTCATTTCCAAATTAATGAGGGGTCATCCACGGTCGTGTCACGATCATGGCCGAGCTTGTCATTGGTTGCTGTTTCAATTTCTTTCTAAAGCAGGATAGAAAAAATCCACGGCGGAATGTGTCACAATCATATAGCGTAACGTGTGTACATTTAAGAGACATTATTTCTATATGGCACAACCAGGGTTCAAGTGTTAAAACCATCTCCAATGGCAAAACCCTAAGTGACAAACTTTGTGGGCTAGATTTGTCATTCTAGCTCCACCAAAAGAGGTTTTGTGCTAGAATGCGAACTCTCCCCACTTGAGCTTTTTGTCCTAATTTATTTAGTGTAGATTTCAACATTTTATTTAATAATTCGTTCAGTATTTTATGTTGGTAGTAATAATTAATTAATACGAACATTTCAATGTTATTTTTTTAGTTCTACAGAAATTTTTTGTCATTAATATGACATCATCAAATAATGAAAACACAATAATTCATTATAAAATAATCATGTACCCTCTAAACAATGTGTCAGTAAATATTTACCATATTTTATAAAATTTATCGTCTAAAACACAATACTAAAAACAATAATTCATTCAATGAACTCTCAAATTTCCTTTGGTAAAAAACCCATTAAACTCCCTGCAATATTTTTTTAATTATAAATCATCATAACGACTGTGTCAGCCACAGGGGAGGGAAGAGCGCACACGTGCGGGAATTGATTGGTTCTGTCCCAACTTGTGCGTCATACTTCCTTCCTCTGGCAAGTCACAATGATGGGAGTGTGGTGGCGCAGTCTAGCCACCTTTTTGGTTTTTTGTGTCAGATTTGGCACCGAAATTCTCACTTTTGAATTTTTGGCACTTTCGAGTTTCGACTGCTATGAGATCTATTTTTTTAATCCCTTAGAGTACTGCTGAACTCCAGAGCAAGTAACTAATAGATGTTTTATTAATAGGATAGCAATTTAAGCCACTCCGACTTCTGAATCTTAAATTGGATTGTATCCTCGATCCCAAGATTGACTCGAACCCGAATGACCCGAACCCAACTAAATAGTTACCTGCCTGATTGAACTGAATAATTTTTTTATTATATAATATGTAGTCTTTCAAAATGAAGTTGTTTTTTCTAAATCTAAGCAAAACCATATTTTTCATGTTGTAGATGAAAGTTCAAAGTATGTAATTCACTTGAAAATATATAATTTTAATAAAATTAAGAAAATGAAAAGTTAGACATTCACTTGAACATTAAGTTATTTAAGAAAATTACATATAAAATGTTAATATAAAATATACAATCAGCATAATGCTAATACTGATAATAAATAATTAATAATTGAGTAATTTCACTATTCAACAAAGTTATCAACTAAATATAAATCGAGTATAGTATTTTTTTTAAAAGAAAGTGAGAAATTTTGGTGTTTTTGACTTTTTGAGTCTTTTAAATATAAATCTTGAACTTTTATGAGGAGAACATGACTAATTGACTATATTATAGCCTTATTGTGTATTGTTAACCTTATTAAAGTCTTATTAGGTATGACTAATTGGATATAGTAGATTTGAGAGCATATCATGAGTTATCCTATCTCAATAACATCAATCGAACTATCTCAAATGCAGGCTTTTTTTACATTAAATATCATATACTTACGGGTATGCCTATTGTGACATGCATGTCACCGTAACTTGTACTTTTCGGTCGACCTAATCCTAATAGAGGTTGGCTGAATACACTAATGTGGGCACCCTGATGACTTATCACGGTCGACCTTTAAAATGTAGTGGTCGACCGTTTGTAGTTTAAGTTGTCATTGTTGGTCGACCACAATAAAACATCGGTCGCCCTTTTCATTGACGTCAGAAGCAAAATGGTCGACCGTAAAGGTATATAGGTCGACCACTTGATGGCAGTCATTAACAAAATGGTCGACCATTTACAGAATGAAGTCGACCAGATAGAAGAGAAGTGTTGTATCAATTTATCCATCACCATTTGACGTAAAATGAAGATCAAGAGAGTTGGTTTCGCGGTCGACCTAATCCGGTACGAGGTCGACCGAATACAGGAAAATCAATGTAACCTATGCCCTACGTCTTTTTTGCTTATGTATGTCGATGTGGGTGGTTCTTTTGCTCGTACAAATTACGTTTCAAACCAACATAATCAGTCACAAATAATGATAGCAAGGACTCATAACTTCATAACATAACAACTAAACAAACTAACAAGAAATACAATAAAAAACACAAATCATAATTGTTCACACATAACTAAAATCTAAAATTACATAATATCAATTCACAATCATTTTTAACACTTAACAACAAAAAATGAAACAATAGATTAAGTCGACCTAATCCTATATAAGGTCAATCTAAAAGTTCAAGTTACGTTGACATGCATGTCACCGTAGCAAAGTCCTATACTTAATTATTAAGCAAGGTGATTATCACAATATTTACCTATTAATTATAAGTTAAGAGTTTAACGTTTCGTACTTAAGACATTGTTTATAGTAAACCTTGTTTTAGCTTTATAGGCCATGACTAATTTGTAATATTATTATAATATATTTGAGAACATATCATGAGTCATCTTATCATAATATCCAATCGCTTTTGTTATGGTACACATGACATAACCTAGCATACATTATATGAACGCATTTGATAGTTTTTGAAAAATAACTTACTTTATATAAGATGGAAATTTTCTTAAAAAAAGTTTAAAATTCGTGTAAGTTGTAACGAGTAAAGAGTAAGTAACACAATGCACTGACCCGAACAACTTGCAACGTGATCCGCACGCAACCCGTCCGACCCGTAACTCGATTGACCCGCAACTTGATAACCACAACCCGGCTAACCCACAACCCCATAAACCAGAACCTAACTACCCGCATCCGATAAACCCGAAACTCGAGTAACCTGTAAGTTGATTGAACCCAACCTGATCCCTCCCAATTGACACGTGAGCTGCGGTTGATTGGCTTCGGGGAGACTAAGAGGATGAGGAGGAAGGCAATGATCGCGCTTAAGAGTGGGACACAAGGGCTTTCTATTACCCGAAGAACATAGGCTATTCTCAAAACCCCACCTTTGCTCGGCCTGTCTCTTGCTCATGCCAAAGAAGGACAATCAGCTGAGGTGGATGAGCGCCTGGAAGTGGCGAGCACCTAATCGTATATGTCATTTTCTCTAGCTGGCATTGCAGGATCACCTCATGACGAACTGTGACAGAAAGCAAAGGAAGTTGGAAGATACATGCGACTTATGGGAGCTGGAACCTGAAATTGTGGAGCATGTCCTTCAAAAGTGTCCACTAGCCAAACAGGTTAGACAAAATCTTGGTCCCATAGAATCATCTCTCACATACGAACTGGAAGTTGTAAGATGGATGACAACAAACATGATGAACACGAAGACCGGATTGTTTTTTTGGAGTTGTTGCTTGGTACATGTGGAAGATGAGGAATGACCGGATCTTCGAGCATAAATTCCAGGAAGCTATGACTCTTGTGCACTAGATTCAATGTTGGACGTCAACTGTCAGACATGCACAAGAGAGAAGTAAGCAGTCGGTATAAAAAGCAGGAAAACCGGACAGGATTTGTCGTGGAGGCACCACCTCAAGGTTGGATAACGATAAACTCGGATGGGTCAGTGCAGCACCCCAACTCGAAAAGCGGTTGTTGATGGTCTTATGCGCAATCACCTTGGTAATTGTGTGGGAGCTTTCAATATTGCTAACCTGCGGGTTTTGCACTATCAAGAGGGAAGAGATCATTGAAGCTATCACGTGTCTTCAAACAGCTTGAAATTAAAAATAAAGGAATGTCCTTCTTTGTCTAGACTCTAACACATACAACCTTACTCGTCGTTTGCAGAAACTCTTGCAACGTAACTTTGAGGTTCAAATCTCTCATTCCTATCAAGAATGCAAACAAAGCAACATATTATATCACTATGGGCATTTCCCAATATTCTTTTATTTAAGTATCAGGCATGGGCTCCCTCCTAATGTCTCATTTCGTATTCATTAATGTACACTTTAGGAACCCTTACCTCAGCTGAACAACAACACATGTAAGGTGCCTTAATCTCTTGAAAAAATGTATCAATTCAATGCACAAGAAGGTAGTATTAAGAAAAGAAACACAAGAACGTTTTCTAGTTTTCAAAGAAAGGAAAACATAACGAAGACAAAGTTCGTGGGGAAAATGGTTGTTTGATTCCTTTGGTTTTGCTATCCATCTACCTATTACTGTCATTATTATTTTTATTATTCTCCCATATTTCTCATTCTCACGATCCATCCATCCATCCATATAGCAAGAGACCGAGTGTAGCGATTAAAACCCCCCCTCGTCCACGCCATTAAATGCCCATTGCACACCCTCTCAACTCAATGCTCTCACCCTTTCCCCGTCCCTCTCCGCATTTACTCCTCCTCCTTCCCCCTTTCCCTTTCTTTCTTCCTCTCGCGTCTCTCTTCTTCATCTTCCTCCTCTGTCTTCTTCTCCATCCTCTCCTCATAAAACTTCCATTTCTGTGTTGCTTCCATTCTTTCAAAACTTATCAATGTACTCCTGAATCACAAAACCAACAAAAAACCCACATACACAACAACAACAACAACAACAACTCCAGGACAGCAAGGTTTCGGGAGGCGTAAAGGAAACCAATCCATATATATCCATCCCAAGCAAAGCCAGATCCATAGGCAAAAGGGAAGACTACGAAGAGAGAGAGAGAGAGAGAGAGAGAGAGAGAGATCATCACCATATATTGATATTGTTGTGAAGAAGATAGAGAAGGGTTTCTTAGGAGAAGAGAAGAAAGAAAGACACAGAATAGGAGGGTTGGATATAGGGAGAGAGAGAGAGGGGAGGAGGAGGGCAAAAGTCAGCTCTCTGTAGTGTAGTATACCCTTTTTGCCTATTTTTCTTGCCCTCCCCATAGAATCTTGGAAATACCCAAGTAAGTACCCAACCCTCTCTCCAAAAACAGTGCAAATTACCCTTGTGTATATATTATAAAGGGTAAGTCAAAAAAAGGGTTACTAAGTCCATAAACATATTTTTCAAAGCGAGAGAGAGGGAGGTGGCCGGCCTAGGGTTTGTGGTGTGGGGGGGTTTCGAAATATGCCAGCCGGAGTAATGGTTCCGGCGAGAAACATGCCATCGGCGGCGGCCATTCTCAGAAACGGCGGTACGAGCAGTAGCAGTAGACTCGGTATTGGTGGTGTTGATGGTGGATTTTGTTCATCTACTCTTCCAGTACTAGGCCAGGTTTGATTTCCCTCTCTCTCTCTCTCTCTCTCCCTCTCCCTCCTCATCTGCATTTATTATCAACACTAATGCTGTAGTGTAATCCATAGTCTCTCTCTTCTCCGGTAATTCTTTCCCCTTTCCCATTTCTTCACAACACCACACCATGAGATGAACCCTTTGATCTCCTCCCTTCCTTCTGAAATTCGACCGGGTCGGGCATGTAAATTCCTGATTTCCGGGTTACCCATTTTGGGAAATACCCTTCTCTCGATTCACTCAAACCGCGTTCCTGGCTCGCTTGCCTAAAAGCTCCTCTATCCTCTCTTACGGTACTGTAAGGGGAAATTAATTCTTACTTGTTATACAGAAAACCTCTTCTTTCCACTCCCATGGCGGAGGATCTCCCTCACCATCATCGGCTGCAAGTGCAAGATCTGTTTCGTGGAGTTGCTTTCATAGTAAGAGAGAGAGTATTAATTAATAGGAATTTTGAAATTCGAAACTTTGCATTCAGAAATATATATATACTTTTCCTTGTAATTAATATTTTAGCTCGATCTGTTGCCTGTTGGTGGATGGATGACTAATGTTCTTCTTCTTCTTTTGATTTGTTAATTAATTAATAGCCGAGCATGATGGACGGAATGGGAGGGATTCAGTATCACCACCTAGACATGATGACTCAGCAGCCCACGCCGGAGAGTGACATTCCCGGCGCCGGCGCCGAGTTCGACATCAGCGGGAACACCAGGTCCGGCGGCAGCGACAACCAGCTGGAAGGCGGCGGCGGGTCCGGTGATGATCAGGAGCAGCAGCGGCCTAATAAGAAGAAGCGCTACCACCGCCATACCCAGCACCAGATCCAAGAAATGGAAGCGTAAGTTCAATTCTTTTACACCCTAATAATATGTGGTCTCTTTCTTGGCTCGAATAAACGTTTCGATTAATTTTGGACGATTTTTTTTTTGCAGATTTTTCAAGGAATGTCCACACCCAGATGACAAGCAGAGGAAAGAGCTGAGCAGGGAGTTAGGGTTGGAGCCATTGCAAGTCAAATTCTGGTTCCAAAACAAGCGCACCCAAATGAAGGTATTTTCATTTTATTTCATTCTTCTTCGGAAAATAATAATTCCATTTATTTGTGTAATATAAACACACCTCACTTTTTCTAACGTTTGAATTAGAAAACAATCAGCAATTCACTAACGTATGATCTTCCCCCTACCCAATTTGATGGGACGTTACAACATCGATCGATGTCTCCCTAAATTAAGATCTTCCCCCTCGATCTTGAGCTTGAGTGAATCACTTGCCAATTCTTTTGTCCATACTTTCATGTTTCCAAGGGGTTTCACACCTCCAAAAATCACATTTCGATCCTAGATTTCGTTAGCACATTCTTACTAAATTTTAATTCGAGGGTTGTGACCCGCGTCCCAATCTGTTTAGAGTGTCAACCTTATGAATCTACACTCTAACTATGTAATTGTAATCAAAATCTACTCTCATATTTCTTCTGTTCCGAATATTGACCATCGAATTCGAACTTTGGCTTGGATTAATATAGACACAGCACGAGCGAGTAGAGAACTCCCAATTGAGAGCAGAGAACGACAAGCTGCGAGCGGACAACATGAGGTACAGAGAAGCCCTCAGCAACACCTCTTGCCCCAATTGCGGCGGCCCTACCGCCATCGGAGAAATGTCCTTCGACGAACACCATTTGAGGCTCGAAAACGCCAGGCTCAGAGAAGAGGTATACATTACATAACATAACACCATCATCACATTTTACAGGTAATCAGAATCAGAATCTTCTAATGCAAAATATTCCGTCCCTTTGGTTTTTGCCAACAGATCGATCGCATATCGGCCATAGCAGCCAAGTACGTGGGGAAGCCAGTGATGAACTACCCGCTCATGTCCTCGCCCATGGTGCCACGTCAGCTCGAGCTCGGCGTCTGCAACTTCGGAGGTTCGCCGGCGGGTGGAGGACCAGTAGACATGTACACCGGCGGCGGCGGAGGAGAAGCGGCGGCTGGGGAGCTGCTGAGGTCAATAGGCGCGCCGCCGACGTCAGAAGCCGACAAGCCGGTGATCGTCGAGCTGGCGGTTGCGGCCATGGAGGAGATGGTGAGGATGGCCCAAATCGGCGAGCCCTTGTGGATCGTGGACGGCTCCAATCTGGTGCTCAACGACGACGAGTATCATAGGACTTTCCCCCGCGGGATTGGGCCGAAGCCCAGTGGGCTCAAGTGCGAGGCCTCCAGGGAGACTGCGGTTGTCATCATGAGCCACGTCAGCCTCGTTGAGTATCTCATGGACGTGGTAAGCAATAAGCAAAGCTCCAAACATGTTATTATGAACTTTTGTATTATTATGATTTTTTTTATTAATTCATTTACAGAATCAATGGTCTGGTTTGTTCTCCGGAATAATATCGAGGGCTATGACATTGGAAGTGCTGTCAACTGGAGTTGCAGGAGGGAACTACGACGGAGCACTGCAAGTGGTAATGCAAATTTTTTTACTTGTGATTTCCAATTAAATTATTTAATTAATCGAGTATTAAGTTATTTATTAATTATGATGTTAATGGCAAAAAATTCTTCCAGATGACGGCTGAATTTCAACTCCCGACTCCACTGGTCCCAACCCGCGAGAGCTACTTCGCCAGATACTGTAAGCAGCACGCCGACGGGACGTGGGCGGTGGTCGACGTTTCCTTAGACGATCTACGGCCTAGCCCGGTGACGGGCCGGTGCCGGAGAAGGCCCTCGGGTTGTTTGATCCAAGAAATGCCTAACGGTTACTCCAAGGTAATTAGACTTAAAACTAAACCTCGTGCCTTCAAACCTTGTAGGAGTCATTTTGTTAACTTATATTAGTTTACGTTAATCCACCCAGGTGACGTGGATAGAGCACGTGGAAGTGGACAACAGGGGAGTCCACGATCTCTACCAACAGATTGTTGACTGCGGCCACGCCTTCGGGGCAAAACGGTGGGTGGCAACACTAGACCGGCAGTGCGAGCGGCTCGCCAGCGCCATGGCGACCAACATCCCAACCAATGACGTCGGCGGTATAATAAAGAAATATAATTTCTTGCTGACATGTCTGCCTAGTCATCTAATTTTTATTTACAGGAAGATACTTATTAAATTAAAATTACGGCAGTGATCACGAATCTAGAAGGGAGGAAGAGCATGATGAAGCTAGCAGAGAGAATGGTGGTGAGCTTCTGCGCCGGAGTCAGCGCATCCACAGCTCATACGTGGACGACATTGTCCGGAACCGGAGCCGATGACGTCCGGGTCATGACCCGGAAGAGCGTCGACGATCCGGGAAGGCCGCCGGGGATCGTCCTCAGCGCCGCCACTTCGTTCTGGCTCCCTGTCCCTCCCAAGAGGGTGTTTGACTTTCTCCGGGACGAGAACACTCGTAGCGAGGTAATGCTACATCATCTAAAAAAAATTGAACTTGTTTATGATCTAATGTAAAAAAAAAAAACATCGTGTAATATTTGCAGTGGGACATTCTGTCAAACGGTGGAGTGGTGCAAGAAATGGCTCACATTGCTAATGGACGTGACACAGGCAATTGTGTCTCTCTTCTTCGTGTCAACGTGAGTCTATACATAAAGAAACAAAAGAATTCTTTTTTTACTTTGCGTGAATTTTGAGTTATTTAGGGTTGAATATTCTTCATTTGTGTTTTGTTGGAATGGTCAGAGTGCGAATTCGAGCCAGGGGAACATGTTGATACTGCAAGAGAGCTGCACGGACCCGACGGCGTCGTTGGTGATCTACGCGCCGGTGGACATAGTGGCGATGAACGTGGTGCTCAACGGCGGGGATCCGGATTACGTGGCTCTGTTGCCGTCAGGGTTTGCCATTCTACCTGATGGAACCAGCGCCGGGGGAGGAAGTGACTCTGATGGCGTGGCTGGTGGAGGAGGCGGCGGCGGGTCTCTTCTGACGGTTGCGTTTCAGATACTGGTGGATTCAGTTCCGACGGCAAAGCTTTCTCTCGGATCGGTTGCTACTGTTAACAATCTCATTGCTTGCACCGTCGAGAGGATCAAGGCTGCTTTGTCTTGTGGTGAGAATGCCGCCTGACAGGAATCGTTAAGGTACAGATTTAGTTCCCCTAGTTTCACCTAATCTGCATCACATTTAATTTACTACTGGTGGTTTACTGTTGTTACTTTTGTTCTTTGCAGGTTGATATTAACTTGAAGAAGACGTAATGGGAGGGAGAATTGGGGGGATGGGATTAGAAGTTATTTTTTTTGGATTTTGTCAGAAGGAACAAAACAGGGGATTGGAAAGGAGAAGTCAAGAGCGCACCTTACATGATCCTTTATAACTTGTTCATGGTAAGTTTTGCTAATGTAACAGAAGGCGAGGGAGTCAGTCATGGTCTCCTGGACTAACCCCAATTGGCAAAAGTTCCCATGAGCGATTGATGAGGATTAGAGGTTCGGGAATTGACTTCCAAAGAAGACATGATGAAGGAGATGATTATTATTTGATTCATTTGCTGTTTCTAGAGAATCCTGTTTTATCTCTCTCTCTCTCTCTCTCTCTCTCTCTCTCTTTGTAGTTTACCTTTCAATTTCTAATCATAACAATTTAGTTTTTCACTGTTCAGAGTGCAAATTGTCAGCACTACCGAGTCCTGCTCTCGCTCTTGTGTTACCTCTTATCATGTTATCTGATGCCCTATTCTGTGCTTCTGTTCTCACTTCTCAGGATCGATTACCAGATAAAAGATTGAGCCATTCCTTTCCATTTAGAAACCCATGTTACTTACATTAAGGAAAACAAAAAGAAGGTAGGAACTACTCTTAACCGATGCAACAGATGGGCGTCAGAAACGATAACAATAACTCTGGTTAAGTGATAACTGATGCACCAACAACCCATAGAAGCTCCAAAACTCACAAGAATGAAAAAGAAATTATCCTACCATATGGTCAAACTAGAGAACTCATTCCTCACAAAGTAGTCCAAGAACGAAAGAGAGAAAATGGAGAACCTCGTCGTCAATGAAATCATGGAAAAAAGAGGACAAGACTACAAAAATGGGTTGATGACATCTTTCCTCAAACCCTCTTTTTCCTACCAAAAGCAGGTCTCTTCCCGATTCCAGAGCCACTCTTCGCAGAGTGTGGCACAAAGCCTCGAAGCATGGCTACTACACCGACGACCAGGAAAGGAGAGTACAGCATCAGCAGCTTATCGGATGCTCTCCCAGACATGATCATTTCTGATAGCAGAGGCACCTGTAAATTTATACCACGAAACAGGCATACAACAGAGGGCAAAAGAACAAAATGTAAGCTTCCATTGGAAACCTAATCATCAATTTCACAGTAAAATCCTATTGTGATCTTAGCAAATGAAAGCACGAAAACCTAACACTAATTTCCCCTTGTTTCTGGCCAGATGCCATGTAGCAACAAAAAGGGTCGCCCTCAGATGCCCTTGTTTCAGAGCTGGTCGTACATATCATCACGCCATAACCCATCAAGAAAGTGACTTTATACCAGAAATCAGACTGTTTATGAGGAGATTTGCTGTATCAAACCAAAAATTGCCAAAAGAGTGTACGACTTTTCCACAACAAATGGAGAGGGCGGACTCTAAATTCAGAACCCTAATCATCCCCAACCCTACCTAAGCAGCAGATTGGAATAAAAAAAGGCAGCAACTTTATGCGAGAAATCAGATCATTAACGCGAAATTTGGTCTACCAAATCAAAATTAGCGAATAGAGTGTTCCTCTTTCTCACAACAAAATGGAGTGGGTGGACCGGACTTTACCCTCAGAACCGCTAATCATCCGAATCGAGGGCAAAAAAGCGCAATCCCTATTTTCCATACCAATAATCTTATTGGGGGTTCAATGTCAGATTTCGAATCTATCAGATCATAATTAAGGAGAAAAAGTGGAGGTTGATTTGATTTACCATGGTGGAAATGATGGAAACACCATAGATCAAGCAAGAGGTGTTGAACCAGGGCTTGCCACACAGAATGGCGTAGATGTTGAGGAGGGCGAGCGGCCATTGGAAGACAAGCTCGAGCCAGACCGTGCCGACGAAGAAATGAGGCTTCTCGGAGACGAGGTAATCGCCGTACTCCTGGCCGTACCACTCCTTCAAATTGATCAGCGCATCCGGGAAATAGGAGCGAGGGAGACAAGTCTGCGAGTCGAGCAGCGGCGCCGCCAGCGCGATCAGAAGGAAGACCAATAACAGCAGGAAATCCACGAGCTTCACGAACGCGCCCATCTTTTGCTTCTGATTTCTCGCCTGCGATTCCTTCTTTCTTCCTTGATGTGTTCTTTGATGATGGTGATTGGCGATCGATTATCCCGTGTAGTTAATATCTTCAGGTAGCGGCCAGAGGGCCGGGGGGAATTGGGTTCTCTTCCATGGGCCGACTTCTGTAAGCCCAAATAGCTGTCTGACGCCATTATGGAATTGGCCTACTAATTTTGGCTATTGTAACGACGACGTTTGGCGTTCTTCTGAGTTCTGTCTCGTCACCCAGACAAGCGATTTCTGGGTTCTAGCATTTACAAACGCAAGCTAGCTTTGGAAATTAACATATTTCCACAGCACCAATTCTGGGACAGAGAGTTTGGACAAAACCCCACCGAGAAAATGAGCGAGACGAGGCCGGTGCCGAGGAGGGAGAGCCCATGGGGGATGTCGGAGGGAGATCACAAGCAGCCAAAGGCACATCGCTGCAATGATCGAGCCGAGGACGTGATTCAAGTAATCAAAGATTCCAGCTTTTCCCCTCATTTTCAGCTTCTCCTTGTTGTGAATTCGTCGGGTTAAAATGTTCTTCGATCCTTTCGCTTCGCGTAAATAGTTCGACGGTGGAAGTTGGGAATTCTGAAGTTAATTTGAGTTTTAGGAAATTCCTTAGCTTCGCTTGAATTATCACTGCCCGTCGTGATTTGATGAAGTTGCCTGTCATTAGCTTGTTTAGTGATTTATGGATATTTTGGTGTTTAGGGTTTTGGAATTAGCCTAAGAAATTACAAGTAGCAGTGAACAATTTCAGACTTGTGGAGTTAAAATCGGATGGCCACAAGCTTGTGCAGGTCCACAATGGATTGAATTAAGATGTCAGAGTTTGTTGAGAATAGGGTACTGATGAGTGTGATTGATTGACTCCTTGGACAATACGCATGTGCTGGTCTTGGAAGTTCCCACAAGTTCCTTCCAAGTCAACAATGTAGTTCACGGTTGTGCTGAATTCTGTTGTTTACTGACAATTAGAAGTGTTTAGATTTGACCATGGATTGATTTTCGTTGATTCCGAGATGGAATGGATTTGATATCAATGTCCTTGAAGATGGGAATTGCCAATTGGTGGGCTATAATTCTGATCTCTCCCCAAGGAAACTTGAGGAAAGTCTTGTTTCTTAGGCAACAGATATCGTTGATCAAGATCTTAAGCTGTTTTCTTACATTCTTCCCAAGTGCCTAAGGTCTGGAATTCTGTTGTACTTGACATTTTAGCTATTTCGGGAATCGAGATGGCAGGTTTGGTTCGACTTGTTTGTTTTGTTCGTGGATGTTGTTAATAAGGAGTAAACTGTATTTTTAACCTTCCAGCCATTGATCTGGGTTTGTATTGTAATGTGAATCTGTAGGCTTGTTTCGAGGGAAACCCTTTCAAGACAGTGCCAGGACCATTTAAGCTCTTCTGGGAATGCATGCGCTCCAAACCCGGGTATATTGCTGATTCAGATGTCCTTCTTTCACAATGTTAAGCTCGATTTTCAGATGAGTGATGTTTTTTGGTTGTGCAGAGAGGAACCAACAGATCCTTACACTTACTTGCAGATTGATGCTCCAAAAAGAGAGGTGAAGCTTGAGTAAAGAAGAAGCATGCTGGCGCCACTTTCCATTTGTAATTCATTTCCATTTTTTGCAGACGGTGATGTGAATTGTCAAGGCTCATTTCCTTTGTTTTTTTTTTAGCTTTTATGGATACTGCAAAATGTTGGTCCTTGGATCTAACAGTTGGTAACCTTTCCCTTTCGTCTTTGGATAATAATGATATAAAGATTAGCAGCTGTTACAACCACATCGATTCTGCTTTAAGAATAAGAAATCTATCCCTTCCATTAAGACTGTTGAGTAATGACTTTCTGCAATAGTTCAAATCAAGTCTGAAACAAACACCAAATTCCCCACTCCCTTCTTTCATTATTGCTGCTGAATTATTTCCCCCAACATCCTGTACATGTGTGAACTGAACCGACCGAGTACTACGAAACCCTAAATCACTCAGACTGAGGGACAAAAATTTAAGAAACAAGGATTAATGAACTACTGATTTAAACATGAAGAAATGAGGAAAAGAAAAAAAGAACAGGAAGTTTTCTCTACACTTTGGGAGATGAGCGAGTCACAGCCTGCATAACAAGTAGGGACGCTGCCACCACCACCACCACCACAGTTCCAAGAAGAAACAACTCCAGGAATCACCGAAGCAGAACAACTCCCGGTGACCGGTTGACACTCATCACTGTCCAAACGAGGAGGCGGCATTATGAAAAGGGTTGGTTGTTTAACGAGTTCCTGCTAAAACTCTATCTGCTATGAAGCTTCAGAAATCAATGATGGGCTCTCCAATGGTAAGGTTCCGCTCCACAGACCATGGCAGATCAAAGAGCTTGGCTGTTATGAACTTGAAGATCTTATTCACATTGATGTTGTATGTTGCACTGGAGAAGAACAGCGTTGCATTCAGCGTCTTGGCATATGCTCTGGCCTGTCGTTCAATCAATTAATCAATCAAAACCCAGGTGATTCTCAGAATTCAGATCATCTATGGAGATAGACCAGTTGTAGTTTCTTTTCAAGCATCTTTTACCTGGCTGGCAATTGTCCACTGCAGATCAATGGGGAGCTGGATGAAATCGTCGAACTTTGTTCCTATCAAAATTGGTATAGCCGTCTGATTCCATTTCCTTGCCTCTTGATACCATCCCATCACTCTGCAAATTTACAGAAAGAACAATGAGATCAAAGGAACTCTGATTATCATCGCCAAAGGAGTAACTAGAAGACAATAATATAGCCCGACCCGTTAAGAGTGACCCGACTGGTGAGGTCGAACATGATGAGAATGGCCACAGAATCTTTACAGGCCACCGGAATATTCTCTCTCGACTGATTACCACCTGTCCTCCGTAAGCATCATCCAAAATTCCGCCATTACTGAATATTTCCGCCATTATCGAAATTTGAAGAAATGGGATTTTCAAAAGAAGGAACTTTTCTGAGAAAGAACTCTAACTTACCATCGAATTCCCAGAGACGGTAGGAAATCCGAGCGCCACCAACTTGCAATATCTTGTCCATCAAATTAATCCCATCTCCTCCTCCTTCGATTCTCCCTCCTTCATCCGTCTCGTCGCCGACGTACTTGGCCTTCAAATCATGAGACCCAAATCAGGGGGAAGGGAAAGAGACAGAGACAGACCCATTATATAATCTGTTGTGCGATGAATAATGGAAATGGTAGAATCAAAATCACGAGGAGAAGAAAATTGGGTACCAAAAAGCTTGTTTTCCCAATCTGGCTATCACCCAGGAGGCTAATCTTTAAAGCCACCAAATCCGAATCGACCCGATGGACGCTGTTGTTGTTGTGAAGAATCGCCGCCGCGGAAGGCGGGGGACAATTGACGAGAGCCACCTCCTCCATTACGCCGCCGCCGGGAGAGGAAATAGGCAAGGAGACGGAGGGAACAACGGCGGGATGAGACAGCATTCTGTACCGAATCGGCTTTCCGATGGAGCACATGAGAATTTGGTTCCACACCCGGAGAATGCAGCGGCGGAGGTTGGACAGCCGGCGGTGGATTTTACGGCTGAGGTTGGACTTGGATCGACCCATTACCGGATGATGGGGATTTTACGGGGGGCTAATGATGAGATTTGCCGAAGATTCTTGTGATCATGGAAAATCAGAAAAGGAGAAACGATGGCCTAGAGAGAGAGAGAGAGAGAGAGCTGTGTGTATAATTAGATTAGGCCATGGGAGAGAGGAGAGGAGTTAGGTGTCAAGTGAAAGATCATATTCTGACGATTTGGAGTTCGTGTGGAAGGGTATTTTGGAGAATCGCGTCAGAAAATCTTTTCATTTATTATTATTTATTAGGGAACTTATTATTTTACTTAATGTATTTGTTTTTCTCTCTTGTATTTCTTTTTGTATTTGGCCTATGTTTGGCTCGGCTTTTAGAAGTGATTTTCGGCTTTAAAAGCTGAAGCAGAGCCAAACACCTCTAAAAGCTCGACTTTTGAAAAACCGAAAAGCGCTTTTGTATAACACAACAGCAGAAGCTCCGATTTTGAGCTTCTGCGAAAAGCTGTTTTGAAAATACAAGATTATCCTTACAATATTTTAATTTTATTTCAGAAAATATAATTTTACTTCATTTATATTATTTTAAAATAAAATAAATTATAAAATCATATTATTTAATATAAAAGAAATCTAACAAGATCCATTTTGACTATTTTTTATTGTTTAGAATTTTTATTCATATCTTATATTATAAGTCCTTTATAGTCATTTTACATAAACTCTCATATTAAAAAGCACTTCTAAGACTCTCCGCAATGTATGTGGGTTTATGAGGAAAAGTGGCAAAATAATCCACAATGTGGGGGTGAAAAGTGGAAAAAATGGAGAAAGAGGGAAAATTGGGTGGGAACGGAATACCCACCACTACCAAACAAATGTAGATGCAAGGGAGGGAGGAGGGGCCCACTGCCGGGCTCGCATATAACGATATAATTTTTATTTTGTTCTAATTTATTTGTTTTAATGGGTTTTTTTATTGTGAGGTATTTTGATTGGTTTTAACAGCAACGGACATAATTAATGACGTTATATTTAATTAGTGAGAAAAAAAATTTATATCCAAATTAAAAAATAATATATCAAAATGTTCGTATTAATTAATTATCATTAACTACGTAAAAATAATGATCATTATATAAAAGTAAAGTGAGGAAATCAACTGTAGATTGATTTTAACAACAAAGTGTTAAACCAATTACCCACTTTTCCACCTCCCACATTGTGACCAAAACATCTCTTTTTCCCCATTTTCCCTATTTTCCCACTTTTCCCTCCCACCCACATTCTGGATGGTCTAATAGGTTTATAACCAAACACTTAACTTCTTTTTTGGGTAAATACAATATATTATCCATAACTATTAAGCAGCGGGGAATTATAGCCACAACTATCGAAATACAAATTATTAGCCATAACTATTGTTGTGGGTCAAGATTTGGCTAACAACCCGTTACTGTTTTCGAATTTTTAACGTAGAAGGCCATGTCAGCATCGTAAAAAATATGATATGATGACTGCCACGTGGGAGCCAGCTCACCATCGTAAAAGCTTAGTCATCATTACTAACAGAAGTGTAACGAAAACTTAACGATTGACTAATAATTTGTATTTCGATAGTTGTGGCTATAATTCCCCGCTGCTTAATAGTTATGGATAATATATTGTATTTGCCCTTTTTTTTTGAAAAGTACTTATCTAAAAGCACTAACCAGAAGTTGCTTATGCAAAACCTACCGCAGGGCCAAACTAAGCTTTTGTAATTTTTATTTTACTTATTATAATCTTGCGTTGCGTGTGTATATAACTGTATATATACACCGTTTGCTAGAGTTTGGGTTTTCCAAAATTTCCGTTGCAACAACAACAAATTTTTTGACTATTAAGTTGCTAATTAATTTATTTAACGGGAGGATTTTGATTGAATTTAATGAATAAAAAGAAGTTCTTAGTTCTAGACGTCCTCCAAACTGCTGCCGGCTATCCTTTTTAATTTTTATTTTCGTGTTACTTTGGTGATTCTTAAAATGTTGATTTATACCATTTTTATTGATTGGTATGATAGCTTTTAAAAATTCCTTTTTAAGGTGTTAGATTAGCGTATATAAATTGGAGTTTCCCTTATCATTTACTGTTTGTTTTATTGAGAAAGAAAGACAACACAATCTGCTAGTTTAGGATTTCGTGAGAACTGAGAAGAATTCAAAACGAAATATAATTATTGCAACCTTGATTTTGTTTCCCAATCAAAATTTTATATTCTATGCATGATCCTTTCTTGAATTATAATCTTTTAATAGTTTGTAGATTTGCAATTATTATGAGAAATTTCAGTCTTGAGACTTTTGACTTTGTCATAGTTTTCATTTTTTGTCCGTAATATATATATGATATTACTCAACCATACATTATTATTCTCTTACTAAAATTTAATGGACTATATTTCAATACATTTGTTTTAGTTTGAAGTTTTAGTTTTTTACAAAAAAAAAATCATATTATACATACAAAATGACATCCAATTTGATGTATTTTGAAAGAAAAAATAAAAAATGTAATTAAGTATACTAATAATCATGGGCACTAGGTCCGTCCAAGATTTCACTGAAAAATTTATGTTTCGTCATTATTAAAATTTGAAATTATGTTTTCTAACACACCTTCAAAAACTACAATTGAAACTAGGGCTGGCTATTTGGACTGGGACCGGATGAAAAACCGGAAACCGGACCGTATAACCCGGACCAAGACCGGACCGGGACCGGATAGTAAACAATCCAATCCAATCTTTGGGCTTAGATTTGAGGTAAAAAACCGGATAAAGACCGGATAAAAGAGCTCAACACCCAAAACTTAAGGGTAATTTGCATAAACGGTCACAAACCTTTGCACTTAGTGCAAAACTTAACCAACTCCTCACCCTTTTAGGCCTTAGGCCACTCAAATTCCCACAATCTCAATATAAAATCAAGACCGAATTGGGACAGGACCGGGTCAAGACCGGACCGGATCAAGACTGGACTGTATCCAATCCAATCTTCGGTCCTTATATTTTCAAAAAAACCGGACCGGATCAATTTGGGCCAATTTAACCGGACCGGACCGTATAGCCACCCCTAATTGAAACATGTGTTGTAAGTGCAAGTTGAAAATGACTATTTTTACTATTATGTTAATCAAGAAAGATTTTTCAGAATTGGATTAGTGACCAATTTATCAATAATAATTTTGTTGTACATATTGAAAAATATTTAAGTTACAAGATAAATGATAAATATATTTCACAAACCTTTAACAATAAAAAAAGTCATTGGGACATGCTATGTAAGATAATGAAAGCTTGTCCATTATGAATTATTATTTATTTAATTTATTAATTCAATTTCAACGACTAGCACGCCGCTGCAAAAAAAAAAAAAAAAGTCTGCCACTATCAATGATGGTATGAAAATGTATCATGGTGTGAGGATGGTGGTATACATGGTGCTAGGAGTATACCATTGTTTATCGTGTGTTGTGAATATTATCTGCCCCAAAAGAAAGTCACATGACAAAAATAGTCAAGAAAGAAAATTTTAGCCAATATCACCATGGATCACCATTCTTTCCTTTGCATGCATGTTATCTCCAACACGTAGGGTGAGGGAGGCACCCCAAGTACCTCGGGTCTCTTGTTGTAGATCTCTAGTTCATTGATCTCAGACTATCCACCTGCTAAGTAATAGGTCGAGTAGATAATAACTAAGCTTAAGTAGTCTAGGTCTCTAGGATACCGTGACTTGTGGAATACGATCGAACCAGTTTACTACATCCCTAGCATTGTTTTACTTAGTATTGTTAGGATAGATGTGAGTGTGCATCGATAAAAATTTAAAGCTCGATCACATGTATCATTAGTGCTTCCTTTCTTCACCTTAAGAAATTGGTATTCAATTTTTTTGTATAAAGGTGATATATGTTTTATTTTTTTGTAATTAATATACTAAAGCGATTTGAACAGGTGACCTACAGATTCTAAATTAGTGGTATTCAATTGAGAGATTAGAATCCAGCTTTGTTAGATTTTTATCAATCTTCATTGAATTTTTATCTATACGCTCAAATTAGCCTTTTCATAAAATCATAAGAGCGATTAAAACAAATCATGCAATCTCGTCGTGATCAAACCCGTATAAGAAAAAATGTGTTTGCGAAAAATTCGAAACAAGAAGTATTTGAATTTTCATCAATCTTCGTTCAAAATTCTATAAAATAACATAGTCAGATTTTTCAAAACAAATTAAGAGTGTTTACCTTTCGCTTCGCTTTTAACTTTTTGTTTACATTTTCATAGAATTGGTAACAACAAATAGATCTAAATTAAGGACCGTGCGGTGAGGTGCTTGTTCATCCTCCTTTCGTTCGTGGCTCAACCACATTCTCCATCGTGTCATGGATATCCACCTCTTCTGGCTCACACTAGACTCCTTCTTTTCTCCCGACAAGTTCCTCTCTTTTTGTTACCTAGTTTTGGCTCAATGAAACTACCTCAACATCGTCTATATCAACCGTTATCAACTCTTGAGGGTTTTTTGTATTTGAGATTTTGATTGTCCCATGACTATTTGGGGTGAATTAGCCATTCATGGTAATGATCATAGTCGTATTAGTCATTCCATTCACTTTCTGTGAATGCATAATAATAATCATAACAATATGCGTTATTCCATTATCAGTTATTCCATGGATATTCTTTAGTCATTCCATTCACTTTCTGTGAATGCATAATAATAATCATAACAATATGCGTTATTCCATTATCAGTTATTCCATGGATATTCTTTAGGACGGTAGTCACTACTATATGGCACCAAATTGAGAGATTGTGTTGCCACATGGAAAGGAAGTTCATTAGAGCTTCACAAATTTATCAACCTACAAAGTCATAACAAGTAACACCTTCTGAAGGCTAAAGAGGATAAATAAATGAAATATGCAAAAACAAGAATAAAAAATGGTTAGAGTAATAAAATCAAACTAATATTAATATCAAAGCCCAAAAAAATGGTTTTATAAATTTGATAGCCTTTTTCCAAGTGTGGCTAAATAAGGAGAGTATACCTGTCGTAAATAGGCAAGTAAGGTCGTATCTCACAGAAATCATGACTACTAGTAATTAGCTATATTTTTTATTATCTAACCGATTCTTTTTTTAATTGTTTTAACTAATAAAATTAACTGCTATAGGATCAAATGAAAACAACACAAATTAACTAAGATAAAACAAAGCATGTAAGATATTGTTTATATTT